TCCAGATCGACTCATTCGAGTCGTGTTTTTCCTGTCTTAGGCGCGCGGGTAATGGGGGCGGCTTTGAAGCGGCACGCTGTAAGAGGATAAGTAGGGACTGTGGACAACACRCAGAGAAATGAATTACGCGTTGCCCACACAACGCAATATTCCCATTGGCTGAAAATGAGCAGCTTGTCAACGAGGTGTCATCAAGTTCATTGYGTATGCGGCAGATTAARTACAAGTGATGTTCCGACGCTGTACGTTTAAATTCAATGCGAAGGGGAAAAAATTATAGCAATGGATTGCTTTTCCAAAAGATCAGAAAAWGATCGTAGCTGCAGTCAAACTTAATAATTTGAACGTTGGTTGCTGGCGAAKTTGTTCTAAATGATGAACAATCGCGAAGCGGCTGAATGARCAAGACCAGTTTGTAGTGTAAGCTTGCACACCTTTCTTTATTCTTCTCACAGGCAGCCCAAACAAAGTTCCTGTGTATGGTTTATAAGGGAGTGTATGGGAGTTATGATAAAATCATGACAATAAAATGTTTCACTCAACGATGATTTGCCTCAAAGCTTGCTGCAGTTGTTGTTTTTACTTTTTTCAGTCTTCTGGCGAAGCTACAGCGCCATTTGAGGCCGTTTAGTGTTTGTTTGTTTGTCGTTGTTTTTTCAAAATCCGCTCTTCTCTACCTAAAAAATGGGAAGGCTGGAGACTTAGTGCCCGATAGCGACTACACCACGCAAGAAAATCCAAAAAATCTCTCTCTCCCCTCGAACCGCGATAAAAATGCAACATATCAAAGGAACGATAATATCTCTATTATGTCATGTATTTAAAATGCCACCACGCCAAATATTTCCAGAAAAAATACTGGCTTGAAGTCGAATATTTGATTTCTTCTACAACGTGTGATCGATGGTGTTCAAACGGCCTTTGTAAAGCGTGAGCGGGTCATTTTAAAAGCTGCATTCTCATTGGCTAAACGCGTTACCAAGCTCGAGACAATTCCCTTCCCTGAGAGACTTGGGTTTGTTTTGGCACGACAAAAAAGCCGAATACGCAGTGGAATTTTTCGCGATTTTTACGATAGTAGTATTTCTTTTCTGGATCTACTTATTTATAAAAAGCAATTTGCTGATTCTCTGCATTTTAAGACCCTTCAAAAACCACTTAATAAGTACTTATATATCCCTTACGAGTCCTTTCATCAATCTAGTAATAAGAAAGCCTTTATTATTGTCTCTTAGCTTGTTCAATCAGCTGGTCACTACCATACTGGGTTGCACCTGAACTCTATATTTGCTTGATGTAACAGAGCACATTTCTCTTTTCTTGACTGATATAGCTGCCTTGATCTATAAGTGAAAGAAGAAAAACAAACTTTGAGCCACTATATACAATAAGTCAAATTCATATTTTAGAAAKCAATGCCATGGGGGATTTTTTTAATACAACTATATAAATAATATATGTATCTAGTATAAAGTATAAATATATTATATATTATACATATACATATATAATGCAAAGCCCATAGCTTAAAAAGAAGTATAATTATAATATTGGTTATTTTTTTTACAACGAGAAAAAGAATCGTATATAATGTTAAAATTATACATCACGACGAAATTCCTTCACAGAACCCTACAAACGTTACCCAGGAATGKCAAGGGCGGATCCAGAATTTTTTGAAGGGGGGGTCTCAGGGGTAAAATTTGTGGGCAAAGGAATCCCAGTCGCATTTTTACCACAGGAAGCCCATTTGACCTCAGGAATGACAGGGGGTTGGGGCCCCCCCCACCCCTCCCCCCGGATCCGCCCTTGAATGKGTTACACTAGGGCGAGTGAMAWAAAAGGYCTATATTTATTCGAGTATCTTTAAAWWWTTTTTAACAGRATTTGGTAATTACAAATTTCAGGTCACYCATCCAAGTACAAATCTCACTCAACGTGCTTGGCTCAGTGTTTCGGAAGCCCAAGTTTTTTCCACTGGGCCACAATTTCACGAAATTAGCACAACAATAGCCATGAAAACAAGGCACAAGATAGACTAGATTATTTTCCACTTTAATTCAATGTGCCAGTGCGTGGCAGAGTGCAAGGGATTAGCTGTAGATATGGTCTGGGGGCCGGCTAGTCTCTCCCCTGATGCTTYGGCTAGAACACTATCCTGCGTAATTCGCACACCCAAGGGCAGAGGGACTTAATTGCCGTCAGGTCCGAAGTCCATACGACAACCCAGCGGATGTCTCGGGGTATGGCATGAAGGCACTACTTTTTTCCCTCGGTTTTTTATTTATTTATTTATTTTAATTTTTTTGTTGAATTAATGATCTTATTAAAGTTGATGGAGATGGGTTTGATTCCCACCATATCAATGGTTTTTTTCTTCTTCTTAGTTTCCTTTTTTTAATATATTTATCTATAATCTTTTATTAACGACTTTTATTCAAGAAAGTGAGGATTCCTTTTTTTTCCATTCGAAAGGATGCCTATTTTTTGCTAGCATTCCAGTCAGAATTAACAGTTAAACGATTTTCATCTAAAAAAGTCGAGCCGGTGCTTTTCTGGTTTAAAACCGTCTGGGAGCAGTTGCTTAATAGAGCTTTTACTAAACTTGGATTCTCAGTCTTATATTCTCTACAATAAATTCTATCAAGTAAAAGCTATCAGTAGATTTGAGTAATTCAGTCTATTTGAAGCAAAGATCTTGTACTCATTAATTATGCATGAGCTCATCGACCAATCAGGGTGTCTTATTTGTACCATGTGCAGTACTTTGAAACCCCCATCAAATACGACCGCACCCATCTCAAATAACAAGACCTTTAAAATAAAAAACAAAGCATAACAAAAAGAGTATAAGATGTGGTGTCAAATACTCGTCACTTTATTCTATTGGGGTTTCAAAATTCCACTCGGTTTGAAACCCCAATAGAATACAGCAACTCGTATTTGAAACATTACTTGATGTACAATAGTGCAAAACTCTAAAAACCTAAAGAAAGATCGGGATCAAAAACGTAGCGGGAAGAACTTTTAAATGAAGCAGGGTGGCAATAGTCCCTTCCACTCGAGGGGAATCCAGGGGCACCTCGGAAAAAAATGAAATTTGGAGGTTCTGATACATTATTTTCTTTTCTCTRTAAAGAATATTTCTGCCAAAAAAAGATAATAATAAATGAGAATATATCTTTAATGGGTAACTAATAAGTTAAACTTTTTTTCCAATAATTAGCTCCATTAATATTTACATTGCCGAAGGAAACCTATACGTGTATTTAGATTTTAAACTAATTGCCTATTCTATAAATGATACTAAGTAATGGCTGAATTAAACTAAACTACAAAGRAAACTAAACTAGCATAACTGTAAAAAGMAAAGAAGGGCTAGGAGAAGAAGAARAAAAGTTTGTAATACTAAAGTCTTGACACACTAAGCTCTGTAGAAGACTTTAATCTGTCAGCAAAGAGCTTTTTTAAATTTTCCCTGGAATCATTATATGAGGATACTTGGTRCATTTCTGAAGGCAGCGCATTCCAAATGGAAGGTGCCGTGGAAGAKAAACGACGTTTCCCAGCATTGGTCTTGGACTTTGGAATAGCCAAATTAAGTTTAGATCTAATAAGCTCCTCAATAGTAGTATATTGATGACGTTGTTGACTTATAAGGCTTGTCAGGCAATCGGGTGCAAGGCCTTGTATACACTTAAAAGTAAGATTCAAGATTTTTTGACGGGTAATATCCGAAATAGGTAAGACTGAAAGTTTTCGAAAAAGATCAATAGAACGAGATGAGAGGTCGGCGTTCAGTTATAACCTTACCGCATGCTTCTGTGCCAGAAGTAGTAGATAAAACTCAAGACATGGGATATTTACATTATGTAGGTAAACATTAGGTGTACCTAAAGGGACTGATATGCTATTCAGTTCTCATACATTTGTACTAGTGAGACTCTGCTGATAATAACACATAGTGCTAGGCTTTCGCAATCAGTTTGAAGAGTTTGATGTAATGTCCTCTGAATGTTTATTACGAAAGCAGGGGATATCCGGTTTCTTCTTGTATTCTTTGTTGTAATTAATAAATAGATAATGATAATAATAAATTTTGAGGGGGAGGGGGGTATTTACTTTTTTTTCTGTTGAGTCCTGAATCTGTTGATTCTGTTATCCTGTCTACGCCAAAACAGTACCCTAGGAAGTAGAGGCATTTAAATCAATAGWTATTTGTTTTATCGCTTGTAAATAAACATGACTGCAAATGTTGAACATTTGCAGTTAGGCTTCATAATTCATTGTGATTTAAAGTGTATATCAAGGATTTTCTTTCTTTCAAAATCAYTTATATGTGAATAGTGTAGTAGTATGGTAACAGTATATTTTTGTATGTGAAATTTTCTTTTAGGAGATATGAACATTTGAAATATCAATATGCGAATGAGATGGCGTAAATTCAAGA